TCCTCGAGGGGGGTGGGGGGAGGGGCAGCTCAGGGAGGGGCAGCTCAGGGAGCTCAGGGGGGGAGGGGCAGCTCAGGGAGGGGCAGCTCAGGGAGGGGTGGGGCCAGCTCCGCGGCGGCTGGCCTGCGACGTGTTCTCCAGAGGTCCAACGCGTCGACAAAGATCAAGGCGGAGGCTTTGCGAATCTTTCGGCCTCTGGGGGGCCTCGCCGGGCTCCGGGGCCGTCACAAAACGACTCGGGCTGAAAAACCGGCCCCGGGGAATGGGCCGAGACTTCCGGGGACCCCGCACTGACAAGATCACGACCTCGGATCTCTGGGTCGTCGACCTCGTGATCGGGGTTTCCCCATCGGCCGTCGCCGGCGCCGGCGGCGTCCTCAGCAGACCCCCTGTGGTAGCCGCGCGAGCCCGCGGGGCTCGCCTCCTCCCCCCTCCCCCTATCCTCCTCTGCTGAAGGGGCCCCAGGACACACACAAATAAATACACACAAATAAAAAACACTTCATATTTTCCATCTTTTCTAGGGTTTTGTCTTTTCCCCCCCCACTTCCCATATGTTCCCCTATTTTCTGGGGCCTCGACGGTTCATTGTGTCTGTGTGTCTCTGTCCCTCCTCCTCTACGCCTCTGCACGCCGCACGCCGCACGCCCGGAGCGTTCGAGGAGGCGCCGAGACTCTTTCTCCGCCACGCGGCGAGGCAGCGGCGGTGCGCATGCAGCGTGCGAGGCCACTCGTTACCGGCCTGGAACATATCCCTATCCCCTAGGCTGGGCATCGCCTCGTCGCGGTGCCAATCTTAGGGATTCCCTTCGTTTCTCAGGGCGCACCCCTAAGGTTGTCACCGCCTTTTGGCGCGTCAATCTCAGGGAGAGGGATAAGCTCGAGGCTGGTGAATTCGGGGCCACCGAAGAGATGGCCCATATGGTTGGCCGGGGGAGGGGCGAGGGCCGAGCGTGCGGCCGCGCGAGGGGAGGGAGGGGGAGGGAGGAGAGCCCTCGGGCCCCCCTCTCTGGACCCTGGGGCGCGGAAGAGGGCGAGGCGTCGAGAGGCAGCGCGAGGGCCGGGAGGTGCACGGCAGGCACCTCCGGTGGGGCACCCGGGGGCGCGCTCGCCGCAGCCTCCGTTGTGCGTTGCCTTGGGGTGCTCCGAGGCCCTCCGTGGGTGGCCCCCCCTTCCCCCGGGCCAGCGGCCTCGGCGGGGTCGGCCGCTGCCGCGGGGCGCCTGCCACGGCAGCGTGCCGAAGGGGGTGCAAGGGGCAAGGGGGCGGCTGCGTTGGAGGGAGGCTGCGTCTTAGAAGGCGCCTGCCTCGTCTACGGATGGACGGAAGGGCCCGCGCCTCCAAAGACGCAGGCGCCTTCTGAGAAACCTGCCTCCCCCCCCTCCCCCCACCCAAACTAGGTCTCTAGATCCACCCAAATCGCGGGAACCAGTGTTTATTTCGATGCCACTCTTGACGGACTGGGGTCCCAACAGCAGCGGAACATTTCTCCGCGGCACCCGCCGACGACGACTGCGACCACGATACCGCCGAGAGAAAGCAAGGGGACCGGTTCAATCCACCGCCGAGAGGAACAGGGGCAGCAAATCTGAAGACCTTCTGAGGTGACCACCCTCCGCGCGCCGCCAACTGATGGCAGGCTGGTTTCTCGTTCGAGCGACGATCGTAAAAGGGGCCTTACGCGAGAGGACGTAGCGATCCTACGCGGTGGCCCACGCGGGCCGCCCGCGCGGCACGCCACGTTGGAAGCAAGGACGCCCACGCGCGACCTTACGTGGGCAACTTGCGCGCCAACGTCGGCGCACACGACCCCGTGGTTCTTGCGTCGCTCCTTCGGAGCGCCGGCTGTGCTTCAGCGCATCTATACCCCAGAGCCTTGAGAGCCTCCTCCTCGAGGCCTCGACCCTCGGCTCTTCCAGGCCGAGGGTCGCCCCTCGTTCTCGGGGTGCCCCCCGTCAGGCCGCCCCTCGTTCTCGGTTTCCAGGCCGAGGGGCTGCCCCCCGTCAGGCCGCCCCTCGTTCTCGGGGTGCGGGGGGCCCGCCCGACGAGGCTCCGCCGGCAGCGCGTCGGGACAGCGGGCTGCGCCGGAACGCGTGGCGGATCGGGCCGCCTTTGGCACGGCGTCGGAGTCGGATCGGGGCGAGCCAGGACCGGGGGGGACGAGAAAAAGGGTAGGATGGCAGAGGGCGGGGTGGAGAATCCGCTCTGGCCGGTTCTCCTGGCGCCTCCTGGCGCCGGGAGGCGCCCACGTATCGAGGACCGGGCCCCACGGCGGGGCGGAAGCCAGCTGCACGCAGCAGATTTCGAACGCCCCCCCGTCCTTATTCTACCCTGTAGGATGCACAGCGGCGCCACGGCGAGAATCGGGCCGCAACGGCTCGTCACAATATCGGGCCAGATCGGATCGGGCCGGCCGGGGTCGATATCGAGCCGGGAGGAGGAGGAGGAGGAGGAGGAGGAGGAGGAGGAGGAGGAGGAGACATCCTACCCCTCTTTCCCATCCCTTTACCATGGCGCAGATCCCCTCTCTACTCGCTCAGTCGGATGTCGAGCAGGGCAATGATCCCGAAAGCGTACGCGATGCATTGTAGAGCACGGCGTGGCATGGCGTAGAAGAGTGCCGCAAAGCGTAGTATCAACCTAGCATTGCATTGCATGCCGTGGCATGGCACGGGAAATGACGCCAGCGCTGCAGTGGGAACACGAGTCGAAACGAACGGAAGCGCGGAAATGAGGCCAACGCTGCAGCGGGAGCACGATTCGGAACGAGCGGAAACACGGAAATGAGGCCAGCGCTGCAGCGAGAGCAGCATTTTGAAACAAATGCAAGCGAAAACCCAACTCCGCGGAAACCTGTGTGTAAAAAAAAGTACGCGGGGAGAGGGGGGGGGTCGAGCACTTTCAAACCGTCATCAGGGGAAAAGGGAAAGTAGTATTCATATTGAGTAATTGTGGAGGAGGAGGAGGAGGGGGAGGAGGAGGAGGAGAGGAGGAGGAGGGAGGAGGGGGACGGAGGAGGAGGAGGAGGAGGAGGAGGAGGAGGAGGAGGAGGGGAGGAGGAGAGGAGGAGGAGGAGGAGGAGGAGAGGAGGAGGAGGAGAGGAGGACGAGGAGGGAGGAGGAAGAGGAGGAGGAGGAGGAGGAGGAGGAGGAGGAGGAGGACGACGGGGAGGAAGGGGAACATGTAGCAATATCGAGGCTTTTCCTCTCAACCCTCGAAGCCAAAGGACCTGCAGTGCTTGCTCCCTCTCTGCCCTAACATGCTGACTCCTGCACACGGGGGTCCCTGACCCCAGCAAATACAATCTACAACACGCCCCCTTGGAAGCTTGGCTACCCACTGAGTCGAGCTTTCAACTGACTCCCGAAAACTTGTCAAGGTGGGGCGTCCCCCAAAAGACCTGCTGAGGCGTCCCTCAGGCTAAAGAAACGAACAACTGAAACTCTGCCCAGCAAAGAACTCAAACTTCGCTGGCTGGTCAGCAAGCTCAACTCAACTTCCAGGGGAAAGAAATAGCTCGAAACTCTGATATTAAGCATGATGGCAGGGGGAGAAAAGAAGAGAAAACAGAACGGCTCAAGGCAAGGCGCAGCCGCTCAAGGTCCTATCGACTGAGCCTCATTCACTGTCAGTTCAAAAGAAGTCCCTTGGCCTTGTCCACACGCACTTCAAGGAAGGCACCGTGCGCGTGGTCCTGGACTGGTTGGAATCGAGGGACCGCCCACTTCCACTTGTAGGTCATCTGGGACTGCGTGCTCACGTTCCTGGTAGGCTGACTCGGTCGCATCATAACCAGTGAGGCTGGCACGCCTGGAAGCGGATCCTCCATCTTGTCTGTGTGGGTGGTCTCCTCTGTCATCTCATTGGGCTCGGGCGAGACCAGGACCCAGTCCGAGTCCCGCATGCTGGCGTAGCGGAACCCCGCGTAGCCGCTGATGGCCGCCACGATCAGTGTCCAGACAGCCACCATCATCAGGAAACCTGTCCAGTCGCTCGTGGCCATGCCATCCCTGGAGCAGACCTCCGTGTCGTAGTAGTAGTTGCTCTGGTCGGCGACCTGGCCCTCGCAGCCCTGCAGGAGCGTCGCCGCCGCTGTGATCATAGCCAGGGCCGCCGAGCGACTAGCACCGAGTGAGCTCGTAGAAGTTCTCGAGCTCCTGACCCGTGCTGCCGCCCCCACGTCGAAGTCCACCTCCTCCGACTGATGGTCACTCTCCGCGACCTGGCCCATGTCCGTGTAGATGCCGTTGAGCGTCCTGAGCTTGACGAAGCGATCGTGTCCAAGGATCTTCGTGCCCAGGTCCGCTTTGTTGTCGTCGGTGCCGACAGTCCCGAGGTCCATCAGCTTCCTCTTGATCGCCTGCTGAAGCCAAAGAACTCGTGCCTCAAGACTCCGCACCTTACCAACTCCTTCACGTCGGGCAATGCCTCGCGCAGCTGACGAATCCGTCAGCAGGGTGGCTGCCACCGTGAAGCCCATGAACTCAAGAAGTGACTTGAAGTAGAGCACGTCCTCGGCGACCGCCGTCGCCGCATAGTACTCAGCAACTCCCGAGCTAGTGGCCACGATGCTCTGGCGCCTGCTGAACGAGTGCATGGGAACACCATCAATCTCGATCTTGCCGCTCGACTGGGACCTCCTCGTCTGCAAGTCGCCTGCCCAGTCGCTGTCGCCAAAGCCCACTAGCTCCACGTTCGTGCCCTCCGTCGGTCTCGGTAGCCAGTTCACCGCATTCCTCGTCCCAAGCAGGTATCTCACGAGCCTCTTGAGCGCAGTGAAGGCGCCGACGGTGGGGCCTGATAGCATCCTGCCCAGCAAGCTGACCTCGTACTGGCAGTCCGCCCTGTCCTGGACGTAGTACATCAGCGCCCCCACGCATGAGCGGTAGACGCCAGCCTGCTGCTGAGAGAGAGTAGGAGTGCTCCCCATGAGCGCCTTGTGTGCTGGCACTCCAGGAGTGGGAGCCGTGTTGGAGCCGCCGAGGTTGAGGGTCTCCACCACCTAGTCGAGGTACTTCGGGTTGGCCTGCAGCTCTGTGCCGTGCTCGTACCTCGTCCTCAGCCTCTTCAGGTGCTCGTAGGTGATGCCGTACTCGTGGATCTCCCCGCCGCTGAAGGTCACATGCTGCTTCAGCTCGTCGCGGAAGCCCTCCAGCGCCTCCCTGGATCCAGCCATGTGCAAGTCGTCCATGTGCAGCTCAACCACCACCTCCGTCTCAGGGTTGTAGAAGAACTGCGGCGCCACCTCGCATCTGGTCATCTGCATCTCGTCTGTGAGGATGCCCGCCATGTGCTCCACCCAGCCTGGCGCTGCCGTCCGTCTCCCAGGTAGTTGTTTCTTCAACTTCCAGTAGATCTCCGTGTCCTTGCCTTCCGCCCTGAGCATGTCCAAGTACTCCTGCGGGGGGTCAACCACCACGTCCTCGTACTCCGGGGCCTGGTAGAAGGCATCCGTCGCGTCGAGCGTCATCACTTCGAACCCGCGCTTGAGAGCCACAAAGTCGACCAACCTGTTGGAGATCGGAGCCGATCCAGGTGTGAACAGGTCGTCACGCCATTCCTGCCAGCGGAACTCGCGGCAGACGAACCGCACCTTGCGCTGCCACTCCTGCAACGCTGGCTTCCATCTCCATTGCTTCTCCCAGCGCGTGGTGATGTGCTTCATCCCATTCGCCTCCGACTTGGCGATGTCCTCGCCGACTCCATGGTCCAGGAGGCTCTGCAGGTGCTCCATGGTGAGCTTCTTGTCCAGCTCATCCTGCATGTCCACGTCAAACATGCCATCCGTCGGGTCCTCCACCTCATCCGAGACCTCCTCCCAGAACGCGTCAGGCGAGTCATCCACGTTGCCAACCTCCAGCGCGTGAACCGCTGCAACTCGTGCTCGCTTGCCTTCGGAGACCTCTGCTGCTGGCGAGACCCCACGTCTCGCTGCCTGCGAGGGCGCCGCCCCCATCGCCACATCCCTGGGCGCCGGCGGCTCTGGTGCTGGGGGCTGCGGCTGCTGAGCCGCTGCCGCTGCCGGCGGGGGTGGTTGCTGCGGTGCCTGAGGCTGAGCAGGCGCTGCTCCGCCCTCTGGCTGTCCTGCCTGCTGCGGCTGGGGAGCGTCAGGCTGAAGAGGTCCTTCTGCCCTCGGTAGCTCCGTCGCGATCTGCTGAGGCGCCCGCCTGCGTTTCGACCTCTCGGGGGCCGTCCTCGCAGCCCAAGGCAGCCCCGTCACCGTCATGAGGAGCTCCTTGTCAGCCTGCCTTCCCTCAGGGAGCCGTCGCACCGTCCGTGCGCGGTCAAGCCCCCGAGGCGTCATCACCAGGTGCTCCTGCGACTCGTCCGACCTGCCGACCCAGATCCCTTTGCCCCACTGAGCCTCGCCTCGATGCAGACGCCGACCTCCAGTGAGACCTCGATGCGCAGGACGCGCAATCCGATACAGCACCGTCTCGCCGAAGTTGCAGATGTCGCCCTTGTACGGCGTGCCTGTCGCGATCTCGTGCGGGCTCTGACCTCCAGCTCTCCTCGAGAACCTCTCGTGAAGCCACCCAGCGTGACGCATCATCCACGCCCAGATTGGCATGGCCGCCGTCACCTTCGTGTCGTAGCGCTTCTCGAGGTCCAGCCTAAGAACCCTCGTCTGGCCCTCGACTATCTTCACCGCTGCCTCCGCTGGGTTCGACTGGCTGCTGTGCTTGGGGGTCAGCTCTGCCGTGACCTTGCCCGCGAGCTCGCTGACCACGCCGTCCATGATGGCCTTCGTCGCCTGCTCCGTGTCCGTCCTGAGCCTGCACTTGCCCGTCTCGAGCCTCTGCACGAAGGACTTGATGCCTGCAATGGCGTATGGTGAAGCTGCCTTTGACGCACACGGAATAACCTTCACCACTCCAGTGTCAGAGCTGAACGCCACCAGCATCGTCGCGTAGGTGTCCTCTACCTTGGTCAGGTCCCCTTCCTCGTCGGCTGTCTTGCAGAAGCCGAAGTCGTAGCTGATGAGTGGGTGCTTCTGCTCTGAGTCCTCGAGCCTGACCAGCGAGTGAGGTGCATCAGGAGCTTTGGCCCTGACACACTCCTCGCACCACGGAGCAGCAGGGAGATGCGTGAGGCGATGCTGTCTCTCCTCCTCCGCGCTCGGGGCCTTCGGAACTGGAAGCTGCTTCGGCTCGACTGGATCGTGCTGAATCCCGAGCTGCTCCTTCACCGCCAGCTTGTGCAGCCTCTCCGCCTCCGAGCGCCTGGCAGCCGCCTCTGCCACAATGAGCCGCCCCCACAGCTCCAACTTCGTGCCGTAGATCGGCATGAACAGCTCCCTCAGCCTGGTCCTCATCGCGCCGACCGAGCTCTCCGCTGTGAGCACTGGTGCCGTCGCTGCCTGCTGCTGGTCCGCCGCGCCGCAGCAGTGGTGGGGCGCTGGCGCAGGGCTCGCGGACACGATCGGGAGCCTAAGGCTGTTCCGCTCCAACTCGAGCTGCACGCTGCGGTGACCCTTCGTCATGTAGAGCCCGTCCTCCATACTGAGGTTGAACCTGAAACCCTGCCTGAGCAGCTTGCCCATGCTCAGCAGGTCGTCATTCACATCGGCAACGAGGAAGTCTGCCGTCGCCTTGATGCCCTCCTGCATCGTCATCTCAACACCCCGTAGGCCCGCTGTGGGCAGCGGTCGCTGCTGCACGTCGAAAAGCCTGGGGGCATCCGTCGCACTGTTGACTGGGGCCTCTGGGACGAACTTGTGCCTGCACAGGTGGTCGTCGCTGCCGCTGTCGATCAGGATGGAGCCTCCAACCTTCGCCACCTGGCCGCTCGTCGCCGCTGAGACCGCAAACACCCAGCCGTCGGGAACGCCGTCGTAGTAGCCCGACGCGGCGCGGACCCCGCCCTCGGACTGCTGCTGTCCCGAGCTCGAGGCCGATCCATCTCCCTGAACCGCGCGCGTGTTGCCAGTCTCCTTCTTGGCCTCATCTGCCCTCTTCTTCCTGCAGTCGGCCCGCTTGTGGCCCCACTTGCCGCAGTAGCCACACTCGCCGTCGAAGTAGTCGGACTGGCCCTTGCCATGGCCCTGCTTGCCGTCGCGGTTCTTGGACTTCGTCTTCGAGTCCTTGCAGCCCTTCACATTCTTGCCAGCCTTCCCTGACTTGTCCATCTTGCCTGTCTTGCCCGACTTCCCGTGCGACTTGCCGCCATGCGGTCCAACTCGAACTGCATCCACCTGCATCGGCACGACCCCGCCAGTGTCTGGGACGTGGGTGAACGTCCGCCCTTGATTGTAGTAGCCCCTGATGTGACTCCGAGCCGCTGCGAACGTGAGCTTCACCTCCTCAGGCGCCTGCCGAAGGACCTCACGGTACGGCTCTGGCGCGTGCTCTAGCAGCACGCTGACTCGAACGTTGTCCGAGACCGCCTCGCCGCTCTGGTCCACGTACTCTGCGACGATGGCCTCCCACGCCGTGAGAGACTGAAAGAAGTCGATGCCCGACTCCCGATCCTTCGCCCACTTGTCCTGAGGGTTCAGGATGAAGCGCAGCATGGCCGTCCACCTGTTGCCCGACTTGCTCTCTCGATCTTGAGCTGCCGCCACGCCTCCAGGCCATTCTTCCTCGAGAGCTTGACCACACCCAGCGACTTGCCGTCGCACCACGTGATCAGCAGGTGCCAGAGCCTCTGGCTGACCGCTCTCGCCTGGTCCCCCAGCTGGTCCGTTGCCAGTGGGTCGCGCCTGTTGGCCGCCTCCGTCATGAGGTCCTCCATGCCAAGCAGCGCGGTGTAGGCCTCGAACCTGAGGCTCCAGTCTGCCCATCTCTCGTCCGTACCGTCGAACCTCTGAAGCCTCATGTCGGTCCGAACGTCGACGACATCGATCGCCGCCATCTCCGCCAGCACGGGCAGGAGGCCTGGGCGCGGCGAGCGAGCTCAGCTCCCGTGGGCACAGGAACCGAGCTCCGCTACCATGTAGCAATATCGAGGCTTTTCCTCTCAACCCTCGAAGCCAAAGGACCTGCAGTGCTTGCTCCCTCTCTGCCCTAACATGCTGACTCCTGCACGCGGGGGTCCCTGACCCCAGCAAATACAATCTACAACAGAACAAGAGGAGGAAAAGGAGGACGGGGAGGAGGAGGAGGAGAAGGAGGAGGAGGAGGAGGAAGGGGAAGAGGAGGAAGAGGCAGAGGAGGGGGAATATGAATAATACTGACCCTGGGGCGCCACACCGTCTGTCTGAGCGATAGCAGAGGGCGCCCAGGCTCTACCACTGTGGGCCGAGCGAACCGCCAGCGCGCAAGCCAGCGCAGAGAGGCCGGCACGGGCCCAAGGCCGCACCCCATGGCGCGCAGCCAAGCGGCTGCCAGCATTAACGCCGCCCTCAAGGAAATTCTTGCTTGAGCGACGCACGCATGGAACATCAAGGGGTGCCAGACGCGATTGCGCTTCTGGCACCACCACAGGAAAGAAGATGGACCACCGCCAGGACGGGGGAGCCACAGGCCCACCCCCATCCCGAGGGGCCCCTCTGGCGGCCCCCCTTTCCACGCCCCCTAGCGCCCCGACCGCGGCTGGTCAGCGGTCTCGAGAGAAGAGCAACAGCCAGCCCCGTCTCTGGTGCGTGCTGAACAGAGAAAGCGAACGTACAGGAGCCAGGAGGGGTTCGATGCCAGATAGCATGAGGCATCATCCGAGTGGAGGAGCAGGGCTGGGACAGGCCCAAAACTCGAACCGACGCCTCCTCTGACAGGCTCCCCGCTCTTAAAAGAGCCACTGCCCATTCGCCGAGGCTCCTGTCGAATGTCTGATTAGAGCCAGCTGCCGAAACGATTTCACTTGGTCTAAGAGACGCTGAGCCATTCGCACGGGCACCCCATCGAAGCGCCCCTCCGATCGTCTTCTAGCCGCCCTCGGACGCCAGCGTGACCTGCACCGCCTCTAGGATGTCGACTGCGCAGGGCGCCTCGCCCGCCAACAGGAACTGCACCTTCACCATGTCGCTTCCGCCCTTGGACTTAGACTTGAACTTGGTCCTCTTGCATCTGCAGCAGTGAACCATGTCATCGGGGTCCTCTGGGCTGTCCTCTCCTGGCCGCACGTGGGAGCTGGTGCCTTCTCGGGTGGGAGTTCCGTCGGTCTTCTGGCGCGGTGGGCGCCCCCTGGATGAGCCCTGTGCGCACTCTGAGAAAAGATGCGCAGAGCTTCTTCTCCCCGAAATCGGCGTCGCCGTCGCGCTCGGCTTGTTTCCCCTCTCCCTCTCCTCGGACGCCTCTGAGTTGAAGGACTGATTCTCCTCGAGCATGACCGGGCTGGCGGGCGAGTCCTGGTTGCGCAGCCATGTGTCATGGGCCGGGCGGGCGAGCGCCCGCAGCTGCGCGTCGCCCGCGAGCGCCAACCAACATGGCGATGGCCACGACCAGCTCGTCGATCGAGTTCTTCTAAGTTGCCCACGCCGCCTCCTTTTGCGCGCCGCCCCTTCCGCTCGGGCCTGCCCGCCTGCGTTGGCCTTGTGCTGCGGCGGGGGGGGGGGGGGGGCGCCTGCTCCGCCGCCCAGGTCGGCCGAGAGTGCCGTCGAGCGTGGCGCCGCCAGCGCAGGCGCGGCCCTCAAGGTGGCCATCGCAGATGCGAAGAACTCGGGGCACATGCCATCGGACATGCTGCCGGCAACTCAGGAAAGACCACCCTCGTGCCATTCGCGCGCATGACATTGGGGGCAGGATGCACCACGGAGGGACACCTGCACGCCCCCTCCCCCCCCCCCCCCCCCCACACACCACACCACGCGCACACGCGCGCGCAACACACACACACACACAACACGCGCCAACGCGCACACGCACACGCACACTGCACACGCACACGCACACGCACAACGCACACGCACACGCACACGCACACCACGCAACACGCACACGCCCGAACGCACACGCGCACACGCACACGCACACGCACACGCACAGACACACGCACCACCGCACACGCACACGCGCACGCACAGCACACGCACACGCACAGCACGCGCACTCGCGCACTCGCAACGCACACAGCACCACGCACGCACGCACGCACGCACGCACGCACGCAACACACACACACACACACACACCACACACACGCGCACGCACGCACACACGCACGCACAGCACGCACGCACGCAAACACACACACACAACCACAACCACAACCACAACCACAACCACAACCACAACCACAACCACAACCACACACACCACACACACAACACACAACACACAACACACACACACACACAACACACGCACAACACACACACACACAACACACGCACACACACACACACACACGCACACACACACGCACACGCACCCGCACCCACGCGCACACCTACACGCACACGCACACACACACACACACACACACACACACTCGCGCCCCCCACCCCCCCCTCCCCCCCCACCCTCCACGCACGCACGCGCGCGCGCGCGCCCGCCCCGCCCGCTCCCACCCTGCCGCGATACCAACAGCCCCGATTAATAGATCCCACGACGTGCCTACTTGCCAGGAACGTGCTAGAGCAGAGCTCCATACTGTTAGGGTACTGGTTGGTTTTGCCATGGGCGTGCCCCAGGGATCTAAAACCGCGACGAATTCCCACGTGATCCAGGGCAGCCTTCTGATCGGGATGAGCCCCACCAAGTGGAATGCAAGCGCCATCTGGAGTAGCACAGACACCAGGGACACACGCTACCCCGCCTTTCTCCAGCATGCAAGACTCATCCTCCAGGCCCCTGTCGGGGTCCCTATTGAATCCCCGAGGGCCCCGCAACCGTCTGGACATCGATTTCGGCGAAAGCTTCTCCGAGCTCCCGCCCCGCCAGAGCGCCCAGAAATTGCCTTGTCACCTGGCGAGCAAACCCTCGCCATCTTCCAATCCACGCAGACTCCGCAAGTGAAGGGCCAAAAAACCTGCCCGCTCAAGGATGGGCTCGCGCGGTGGGGCGCCCCGCGTAGCCGCGCTGAGGCCCGCCGCCCTCCGCCGGCAGCGCGGAGATGAGGGCCGCGACGATCCGCGCGCGGCGTCGTTGACAGCGCGCAATCTGCACCTGCCCCTACATGCGCCGAGCCCGCAATTCGAGACGAGCCGAAATGAGCCGCAAATGCGCCGCGAACGGTGTGTTTATAAGGATATGCGCACATGCACCCCCCTTTCCCCCCATTCATTGGGGCGCGGCGGCGCGGCGATACTTCGTTGAGATCGCATGGCCGATCGTCAGCCTTTGCAATGAAACGCACATCTACCGCGATGCGGTTTGCGAAGCGCCCGACCGAGTCGAGCAACCCCTCGACCCACCCGTCAACTGGACACTCGCATGCCCCATCAAGAATTGCGCGTAGGGGCCGCCCATCAACGAGCCACGCCGATGAAGAAAGACCAGAGGCCGATCACCTGTCGGCCCCGCTATCGCGGGCGGCCGAAAACGCCCGATCCCAAAGGGGCGATCTTCCATGTCGGATAATTCCGAAATGGCCTGTTCAAGAAGCTTCCAGGAAGTGGACGGGCAACGCGTTACTGAGGTCCGCGTTGGGCCCAGAAGCGCTGCAAACGCGCGACCGGAGCAGATGCAACATAAACTGAACCCTTCCTCCCTTCTCTCGCGAGAACCCGTAGCTGCGTGGCCCCAAGGGTTCGGGCTCGCGTTGTTCCATGGCGCCCGCGAGCCAGACTTTGCCAAAAACAGCAAGCAAGTCAACCACCATCTTTCCTTCTGGCCCAGGTAAGCTGTTCCCGGGCGCAAGCAAGACAGCGCTGCCACAAGCGGGGAAAACGCCCCGCAACGCGAATGCACATAGGCCAGCGCCCCAGCGTCTCCTGCAGCAGCTGGGCGGCCTCGAGGTGAACGTCAGCGCCGATGTCGCGCGGGCCGTTCCTGATGCCAGATAGCGGGCCCGTGGGCGTCCTCTGGAGCTCCACTGGCATAGACCGAGGGGGCCAGGCTCTGCGCTCTGGCGCATGCCTAAGATATGCAGCAATAGAACCCAAGTCCGCTTTTAGCCGCGATCCGCCAAATAAACCCCGCAATAAACATCAACCCCTTGTTAAAGTATCTCCTCCTTCTCAATGACCCCCCCCCCCCCCCCGCGCGCGAACGCCGTCGCCCCCTTCCGAAGGGCCCCGCACGGCTCCAAACAGAAACCCGCTCGTCGGCGAAAACCGGATGCCCATTGCAAGCGACGGATACTGTTGCCCGCGTGGCCGTTGCCGCGGCAAGCGAGCAGCCGCATCGGCGGGCGTGCCTCCATCTAATTTCGACCCCCCCAGGCCTCGTCGAGCTCGTCTGTGATCTCACATGCCCAACTCCTGCACTGCCCTCCGTGCCTGCACTGCGCTCCATACGACAATTATTGAGACCTCCGTTGCTTTCTCCCTCATCGTCCCGGTCGTCGCCTGCCAGAGAATGCTGAAGACGAAGCCCAAGTCGTCTCTCGAAACGCGAGCGGCGTTCAGCCGCCTGTTCCTTGTGGCGCGCTGAACAGCTGGCGAGCGAACTGCTTAAGAAACTAGCTGCAATATCCTTCAGCGCCATATTGAACATCTCAGAATACCGATCTGGCATGCCGTGCTTGAGAGCATCCTCCAGGGCATTTGCAATAAAGGAAACTGCCGGAGCATCCATTTCGAGGAACGCTTGCCGCTCTTCGGAAATTGCACGGCCTCCAAATTCTAAAATATCCTCTCCTCCTTTGCCTCCGCGTGCTGATTGAGTTCCCACCACAATTCCAGTGTAGCGGTGCATGGCCTCGCTGGTGTTTGATCGGAATAAGTTGGCGTTCGCGCGCAACTCGCATCGCAAAAAGGGCCTGCAGAACTTACGAGCGGAGCAGCAACTGCAAAGCCAAGCATGTAATCAACTCGTACTTGGGGCGCGTTGTCGTT